GCTCGAGGCTCATGGTTTAATTAGGGTGATCGCTGGAATCCTGACACCACTCTTGAGAATATATATAGACACTCTCTCTCTTTTTTAAAAGAAACTTTATTAATCTTTTATAATTTTAAAAAGTCAAACAGCAGAAATATAAATCTTATAACATCAACAGTTTGTGACATTCATCTTGTACTAATATTTTGTGCATTATTTACAAATATATAGAATTTATGCGGATATAAATCATTAACTTATCTAGTGCTTATCCCTATTTATTTACAATCCATTTATCTATCCAACGATCTATCTCTGCTCAATCCAATCATACCATTTTTCCCACTTTATAATAATCAGATTCCTCTTTCTCTTGTAAACTCAAAGTCAATTTGTCCATCTCAGCACAGCTCATTATTTTTTGAACGATCAGTTCCTCTGGTGGTATACATGTGTGTTTCCAACATTGGGCATAGCAGTCCTGGCTGCAGTTAAAATGTGCAATATTAAATATTTTATATTTCTCCCATATTTCTTTCTGAATTTCCCCAATAAAAATAATTCCAGTTCCAATTCTATTTGCTCATTGGTAATCTCCTGTAACCATTTTTGAATTTTTAATCAATGTTTTTGAGTCTCCAGGCAGGACCATTCTCATATACACATACTGTTTATAGGGTAGGCCAGTGCTTCTCAACCATGGCAACTTGAAGTGTGAACTTTAACACCCAGAATTCACATCTTGCGCTGACTGGGGAATTCTGGGAGTTGGTCGGTACATCCTCAAATTGCCAAGGTTAAGATTTAGGTTAGACACCATGTTCTCTCTTCTGTACTGCCAAAGGTGCTTTGTCAAAAAAGGCAATTGGATTTTCTTTGTTTTCCTTTGAAGAGGTTTCACTTCTCATCCAAGAAGCTTCTTCAGTTCTGAAGAAATTGTCAGTCTACATTGAATGGAAGAGGCTTCTTGGATAAGAAGCGAAACATCTTCCAGAAAAAAAAACGAAGAAAGTCCAGTTGCCTCTTAAAAAAACACTTTTGGGACAACCATGACCTGGAAGACCGAGAATCTCCATTGACACGTCTTCTGGACTCTGCATTTATTTTTATTTGTAAAACTTCTATGGGCCACCTAACTTGTACAATATAGAGCCGTGGTGGCAAACCTATGGCACGCGTGCCACAGGTGGCATGCAGAGCCATTTGTGCTGGCATGCAAGCTGCAGGCAAACTTACCTCACTGAGCATGTGTGCGGCTGACAGCTGATTTTTAGCTGGCTTGAGGTCTTTTTCGGCCTCCCAAAGGGTTGAGGAAGGCTTCCGCAGGCTTCTACATGCTTTGTAGGCCGAAATCTAGCCCCATTTCATCAGTTCCTGTTTTTCCGAAAATACCAGAAGTGATGAAACGGGGCTAGATTTTGGCCTACAAAGCTTGTAGAAGCCTGCGGAAGCCTTCCTCAAGCCTTTGGTAGGCCGAAAAAGGCCTCAAACTGCCCAAAAATCAGCTGTGAGGCACAGTGCAGCGGGTTGTGTAAATACATTTACATAATGGTGGTGGGGGGATTGTGCATGCATGCGTAGGGGATGTGGGGGACGTGGGGGGATGCACATTGCCTTCTGGGTGCTGGCACGTGAGAGCGAGCGTGCAAGCATGCGCACCATTTTTGGCACAGGAGCCCAAAAAGTTAGCCACCACTGATATAGAGTAATTTTAGGCATCACATGACAAAACCAATAAACGCAATAAAAATAATATAACGAACCAAGCTCAGAGAGCACCAAGTGACCGTCTAAAGTTACAACGACACTGAAAAAAGTGACTTATGACTGTTTTTCACACTTATGACCATTTCAGCCTCCTCGTGGTCACATGATCAAAATTCAGAGGCTTGAGAACTGGTTCTTATTTATGACGGTTGACGTCATGAGATTCCCCTTTTGCCACCTTCCGACCAGCAAAGGCAATGGGGAAGCCAGATTTGCTTAACCTCTGTGTGACTAACTTAATGTCAATGATTCACTTAACAACTGTAGCAAGAAAGGTCATAAAATGGGGCAAAACTCACTTCACAAATGTCTCATTCGATGACATAAATGTTGTGCTGAATTGTGGTCATAAGTGAAGGATTACCTGTCGAAGTGAACCTGGAGACGTTGAAGCAATACAACATATTTCCATTATTCTGTGCTCCCTTTATATGTTTCAGAGGGAAGTCTGTAAGAATTTATTTTGCTCTCTTACCTGGCAGAACAAATACATTTTATATTAAGTGTCAGACACGAAGCATTCCACCACCTACATGACTGCCAGATTTTTGTGTCAGTACAATAACAAAAAATGATGCCTCCTCAACAAAACCTTGTCTTACTGACGTATAGTATGCCTTTTTAATTTTGCTTTCTTTCTGTGCCAACTCAGAAAGCTCAAAGTGCCCAAGGAGCTGCTGATCCAGTTCTACAGAGGAATTACTGAGTCTGTCATCTGCATCTTTATAACTGTCTGGTTTGGTTCTGCAACCCAACAGGACAGACACAGACTCCAGAGAGTAATTAAGACTGCAGACAAAACAATTGCTACCCACCTGCCTTCCATAGAGGACCTGTATACTGCACCCTGAGTCAAAAAGAGGGCTGTGAAAATATTTACAGACCCCTCACATCCCGGACATAAACTGTTTCAAATCCTACCTACAAAAGGACGCTATAGAGCACTGCATACCAGAGCAACTAGACACAAGGACAGTTTTTCCCCCGAAAGCCATCACTCTGCTAAACAAATAATTCCCTCAACACTGTCCAACTATTTACAAAGTCTGCACTACTATTACTATTAATCTTCTCATCACTCTTTATCCCCCATCCCCTCCCACTTGTGACTGTATGACTGTAACTTTGTCGCTTGTATCCTTACGATTTTTATTGACTGTTTCCTAGTATGATTTGATTGCTTATTGTAGCCTATGACTATCTTTACGTTCTGTACCTTATGATTCTCAATTCTTGACGAATGTATCTTTCCTTTTATGTACACTGAGAGCATTTGCACCAAAGACAAATTCCTTGCGTGTCCAATCACTTGGCCAATAAAAGAATTCTATTCTATTCTATTCTATTCTATTCTATTCTATTCTATTCTATTCTATTCTATTCTCATTCCCTATTCTATTTTATTCCAATCTATTCTCATTCAATTCCCTATTCTATTCCATTCCATTCCTCAATCTGGCTTCCAGCCAAATCCTTGGATGAAGATTATATTCTACCATGGCTTTTACCTATGCTGATTATTGTTTCAACTGGCTGAATCTTGAATACAGGCCTAATCACAATAATACATAAGATCACATTCAGAGCTCTTAGAAAGTATCCCTTGATTTTATTTATTTTTGTTTGTTTGCTTGCCTATTTACCTACTTACTTACATATCCTGCCTTTATTCTTTTTTACTAAACATATACAATACTCTTCCCTCCTCACAGTTTCCCAACAAGAAGCCTGTGAGATTGGTTGGCTGAGAGAGAATGGCTGGCCTATGATCACCCAGCCAAGTTTTTCTGCCTAAGGCAGGGCAACACATAACCATACTAACTAGACCAAACTGATATTCATTGAGTCATTAAGTATGGTAACAGTTTCATAAAGGAATTAATTATCTTGATAATTGTAATAATCGATCATGTGACATCCACCATTGTGCTCCTCAACATCACTGTGCCACCGGTGGTATCGGTGGCAATTCAGACATTATAGAATAGAATGGAATGGAATGGAATAGAATATAGAATAGAATGGAATGGAATGGAATAGAATAGAATAGAATAGAATAGAATAGAATAGAATTTGAATGGAATAGAATAGAATAGAATAGAATAGAATAGAATAGGAATAACAGAGTTGGAAGGGACCCTGGAGGTCTTCTAGTCCAACCCGCTGCCTAGGCAGGAAACCCTACACCACTCCAGACAAAGGGTTATCCAACATCTTTTTAAAAACTTCCAGTGTTGAAGCATTCACAATTTCTGGAGGCAAGTTGTTCCACTGATTAATTGTTCTCCTTACGAGGAAATTTTTCCTTGGTTCTAAGCTGCTTCTCTCCTTGGTTAGTTTCCACCCATGGCTTCTTGTCCTGCCTTCAGGTGCGTTGGAGAATAGCTTGACCCCCTCTTCTTTGGGACAGCCCCTCAAATACTGGAATACTGCTATCATGTGCCCCCAGTCCTTTTTTTTCATTAAACTAGAGATACCCAATCCCTGCAATTGTTCTTCATATGTTTTAGCCTCCAGTCCCCTAGTCCTCTTTGTTGCTCTTCTCTGCACTCTTTCTATCTTGAAGTTCTGTAGGACTGGAAAGAGCCAACATATTTCAGAGGCCCGTTCACTGCCTTCCTGAAGGTCACTTCTGGCTACCAATTACCCTACTTGTATAATGAGTAGCCTTGGAAATTGCACTCACTAAACCAGAGCTCTGCCAGGGAATTCTGGGAGTTGAAGTCCATCCATCTTCCAGCTTCCAAGTTTGGGAAACATTACACTAGCTGGCTGGGGAATTCTGGGAGTTGAAGTCCAACCAGCTTCCAAGAAGAAACCTTGCATTAGTTAGCTGGGGATTTCTGGGAGTTGAAGTCCATCCACCTTGCAGCTCCCACTGCATTTAAAGAGTAGCTACTGAGCCTCTGGCCAACGTCACTTGTTGCAGGTGTCCCACTCCCCACGGCTTTCAACTCCCCCACTGAAAAAAAACACTGCCCCTTGCGTCCCCTCCCCCCACCCTTTTCAACACATGTCCTCCTGTTGCTCCTATACTTGCAGGAGTCCATGAGGAGGGCTTTGCTCCCCCCCCCCACAATGTTGCTCCAATTTCACCTGGTGGGGGAGAGGAGAGAGTGGAGGCTCCTCCGGCTGGGTTGGGAGGGGCACTTTCAGGTGCAGGGCCGGCTTCCTCTCTTTCTCTCGTTCTCTCTCTTTCTCTCGTTCTCTCTCTCTCTCATTGTCTTTTTCTCTCCTTCTCCTTCTCCCCCTCACTTTCTCATCCTCCCTCCCTCTCCTTCTCTGTCCCTCCCCCACTCTCATTTTCTCTCTCTCTCTCTCTCTCTCTCTCTCATTCTCTCTTTCTCTCTCGTTCTTTCTCCCTCCCACATTCTCTCATTCTCGGTCTCACTGTCTCTCTCTCCTCACTTTCTCCTTCTCTCTCTCTCTCTCTCCTCACTTTCTCCTTCTCTCTCTCTCCTTCTCTCTTACTCTCTCATTCTTTCTCCCTCCCACACTCTCTCATTCTCGGTCTCATTGTCTCTTTCTCCTCTCCTTCTCCTTCTCTCTCTCTCTGTCTGTCTCCTCACTTTCTCATTCTCTCTCTCATTCTCTCTCACTCTCTCATCATCTCTTTCTCACTCTCTTTTATTCTCTCTCTCTCCTTCTCTCTCTTCTCCCCACCTCATTCTCTCATTCTTTTTCTCATTCTCTCTCTCTCCCTACCTCCCTTTCATTTTTCCTCTCTCATCCTCATTCTGTCTCTCATTTTCATTTCCTCTCATTCTCTCTCCCTCTCCCCCTCATTCTCTCCCTCATTCTCCCCCCCCACTTTCTCATCCTCTCCTTCTCTCTCTCCTTCTCTCTCTCCTTCACTCTTTCTCATTCTCTCTCTTATTCTCTCTCTCTCCCTCCCTCTCATTTCTCTCTCTCGTTCTCTCTCTCCCTCCCCACACTCTCTCATCAGCTCTCTCTCTCTCTCTCTCTCTCATTCTCTTTCATACCCTCTCTCGCCTTCTCTCTCTTCCCCCCACCTTCTCATCCTCTCATCCGCTCTTTTTCCTTCTCTCTCCCTCCCCCTCTCCTTCTCTCCTCCTCTCCCCCCCTCCACTCAGCCCCGACGCGATTGCGCAGCAGCGGGGAGAGCGAGAGAGCGAGAGAGAGTCAGCCCGGCTAGCCAGCTCCAGAGCTGCGCTCGGGGGAGCGTTTGGTGCGCTTGTGCCGCGGCAGGGCTCGGCGGCGGGCTGCTGCTGCTGCTGCCCCCGTTGCCTCCTCCATCCCTCCATCCCTCCCTGGGCATCGAGCCGGGAGGAGCAGCCAGCCTCCCGCGCGCCCGGGCAGGCGATGCAGCCTCGGCCGCTTCCTGCCCCGCCGTGAACCCCGTGGGGGCCAAAGAAGCTTGGCAAAAGCCAGGGCGAAGCGAGGGTCGTCGGAAGAGCTGCTGCCGCTGCCGCTGCTGCTGCTGTTTCTGGGCGTCCAGGATGCCCGGCGCGGCGGGGGCCCCGTCGGGGGGCGTCTCTAGCGGGCTCCCGGCGTCCTCGTCGGGGGTCTCGTCGGGCTCCCTCCTGCCCCCGCAGGAAGCGGCCAAGCTCTACCAGGCCAACTACGTGCGGAACTCGAGGGCCATCGGGGTGCTGTGGGCCATCTTCACCATCTGCTTCGCCATCGTCAACGTGGTCTGCTTCTTCCAGCCCTACTGGATTGGCGACGGCGTGGAGACCCCGCAGGCGGGCTACTTCGGGCTCTTCCACTTCTGCACCGGCAGCGGCGTCTCCCGGGAGCTCACCTGCCAGGGCAGCTTCACGGACTTCGCCAGCCTCCCGTCGGGCGCCTTCAAAGCCGCCTCCTTCTTCATCGGGCTCTCCATGACCCTCGTCATCACCTGCATCGTCTGCTTCGTCCTCTTCTTCTTCTGCAACACGGCCACCGTCTACAAGATCTGCGCCTGGATGCAGCTCAGCTCCGGTACAGACCCGGGAAAGGGGGGTGGGGGTACGGGGGGCGGGGCGGGGGAGAGGAGGGAGGAAGAGGAGGAAGGAGACCTCGGCGAAGTCGGGGTGCGATAAGATGCCAGGGTCGGGGGGAGCCAGAAAGGAGGAGGAGGAGGAGGGGAACACCGGTCCGATATCTGGAGGAAAGAGCTGGGGGGGGCGCAAATCACTAGTCCAACATCTGGCAGACATCCCCTCCGTGCTTAGATCACATGCACTAAGAAGCCAGGATCAGGGATCTGGGAGGGAGCGAGGAGGAGGAGGACCCCAGTCCAACATCTGGAGGGAGGGAGGATCACCAGTCCAACACCTGGCAGACATCCCCTCTGTGCTTAGATCACATGGACTAAGAAGCCAGGGTTGGGAATCCAGGAGTGAGCAAGGAGGAGAGGGACACCAGTCTAACATCTGGAGGAAGGGACACCAGTTCAACATCTGGCAGACGTCCTCTCCCTGCTAAGATCTAATGTACTAAGATGCCAGGATCAGGGATCCGGGAGCGAGCAAGGTGGAGTCGGACACCAGTCCAACATCTGGAGGAAGGGAGGGGAACTCACCAGTCCAACATCTGGAACAAGGAGTGGGACACCAGTCCAATATCTGGAGGGCATTCCCTCCATTCTTAGATCAAATAACTAAGATGCCAGAATCAGGGATCTGGGAAGGAGTGAGAAGGAGGGGGACATCAGCCCAACATCGTGAGGAAGGGGGTGTCATGAGACCAACATTTGTAGGAAGGAGGGTGATACCATTCCAACATCTGTAGGAAGGGGGGGACAACAGTCCAACATCTGTAGGAAAGGGGGGACACCAGTCAACATCTGGCAGGCATCACCCCATGCTTAGATCACATGCACTAAGAAGCCAGGATCAGGGATCTGGGACCGAGCAAGGAGGAGGGGGCCACCAGCCCAACATCTGGCCAACATCCCCTCCATGCTCAGATCAGCTTCTCCAAACCAGGTTCGGTTGGGTTCAATTTGCAAGTTCCCCCGGCATCAAGCATTTGACGGGCTGCACATCTGGATGATGCCAGTGGAGCAAGGTTGACCTCGGCGGTCTTGACTTCACCAAGCTGCAGAAGCTTGCAGAAGCCTTCCTCAAGCCTTTGGGAGGCCAAAAAAGGCCTCAAACCGGCCGAAAATTAGCTGTGAGGTGTAGTGTAGGTAAGGGGGCGCGCATGCATAGGGAGCTCGGGGGTGTGCATTGCCTTCTGGGTGCTGGCATAGACAGGAGCCCAACAAGATTAGCCACCACTGCCCTATACCATTTCAGACAGGTGGTTTTCTATTTATTTTTTTGAAAGCTTCCAGTGATGAAGCACCCACAACTTCTGAAGGCAAGTTCTTCCCAGTACTGGTTAATTGTCCTCTCTATTAGGAAGTGTCTCCTGAATTCCGAGTTTCTTCTCTCCTTGATTCGCTTCCCTCCATTGCTTCTGGTCTTGCCTTCTGGGGCTTTGGAAAATCAGTTTGAACCTCGCCCGTCTCACGATAAAGCGATTCTAGGCAGCTTCCAATGAAAGCAATCGTTCAACTCCCAAATGTTAAAAAGTTCCCTGTCAAAAATGACCATTAAAATGTTAAAGACTATAAGTAGAAAAAAGTCAGCAATCTTATTATTAACAAGATAGTGGAGATAATTGATGTTACTGATAATTAAAAAACGTACCCATGCAATTCAGAAACTTAACAAGTTTTCCAGCTTTGCTATTAAGGTGTGAATCATGCAGATCACTGAGATGATGGTTCCTTTAAACGGTGCCGTGTGAAGCTGTTAAGTTTTGGTCAGCCTTATTGAATATTTAGTGTAAGGTGGTCCATTTCCCCCCCCTAGGGATCTCCCATAAGGATGCTGCAATGGTCATAAGTTTGAAAAATGGTCGTAAGCAAGGGCGGGCTGCTGTGGGTTCACAGGGGTTCAAGAGAGCCCCTAGCTAAGATTCTGTGCAGTTTAGAGAAGCCCCCCAAATCCCACTCCTGGCTGGCCCCGCCCACCCCTCCTCTCCCCTCCCAGGAGTCCCGATGTGGCCCGTTTTGGATGCAGGGAAGTGCAGGGCATGTGCGGAGGCTTGGGGAGGGTGAAAAACGGGCCTCCTGGAAGTTCAGAAAGGGCAGAAATGGGCCTGTTTCCGGCTTCCAGAGAGCCTCCGGAGCCCGGGGAGGACAAAAACAGCCTCCCTCAGCCTGTGGTGCAGGAAGCTGACTAGGCCACGCCCACCATGGCCATGCCCCACCCAGAAAGCATGCAGAGAACCCTTTGCTAAATTTTTTGAAGCCCACCCCTGGTCATAAACCCCGTTTTCCACTGCTGTTGTAACTTCAAACCGTCACTTAAACCAACGTAAGTTGAGGACACCCTGAATGTGCGTGTATTTAATCAGCGCATTGCATACATTTAATCAGTGTTTTGCAAGGTCAAAAGAGAACATTCTTTGTTTCATGATGTCTTCCAGCATCTAGGGAAAAGACCTTATGTAACCCTCACTGAGGTAACAGGAAGTCGAGAGGACAATAGAAGTCATCCATGGGAAAGTGAGAGAAATTCAAATTTTGCTTGGCAAAAGCTGTGAAGCTGAGAGGGACGGTATCACATAAACTGCGAGTTTAACCAAATCTATTTAGCTGAGCTAAGTGGCTGGGTCTCCAGGTGTTAATAACATGATGTCTACTTCCTTCGCTTTTTGTCCTCTACTTTAGTAAGCTGTGGATGGGAACGATATTCCAAAAGACGGCCCTGGGTTAGAGAAACTGTTCTTCTGGGCCCCGTCCGTAGCAATCCAAACCCACAATATGCTGGACCTTATGGGTCAGGTTTTGGGAGAAGGAAGGACAGAACTGGAGGCGGAGTCAAAAGAGGGATTAGCCTAGAATCACTATGTGGTCACAAGCAAACTAAGTCCAACTTCCCTTGAATTCTGTTTATCTGACTCTAAGGAGGTGCTATTAGTTGAGAAGATTCCTGTACATAGGCTTTTAGCAATAAACCAGTTTCATTGAATCTTTACATGTGAACCTGGTCTTTCTCGCTGGGCATAGATAGATGTAACCAGATGTTTGCAATAAATATGATAGAAAAGAAGAGTTGAAGGCCACTCTTATTTCTCAACTGGGCCATCTAATAAGGTAAACAAAAGAATTGCAAGAAGGATGATCTGTTTGAGATTTTGAGTTGGGGAAAAGTAGGTTAGATCACTGTTTTTTTGCCATCTATCACATTCCTACTTCATCTTAATTTCATCTCTCTGCTCTCAGAAGTAGGAACATCATTTAATTATTCTGACGGCTCTTTTGCTTATGAAGGAACAAAGAACATTCTGTGGTACAGAAGACTTTAATGGAAACAGGTATTTTGGGAACACATTGTCTCTGTCAACTCATAAAACATTTCTATGCCTGTTTGAGAGTTGCCATGAACAGAAGGGGGGGGGGAGAAGTTTGAAAGAGCACTGCAGCAGTTTGGAACCAAAAGTGCATTCCATTCTTATCTTGCAAAGATTATAACTAAGCTACCGGGATTTCTGCCACACAAATCTCTAATTGGAGAATGTGATTTATGACTCTTGGCTATGAATGTGTTTCATTGGAGAATATTGATTTATTATACACCCAGAAGGGTGGGAGGAAACCAGGGTCAAAGGTGACAGTGAATTATGTGTCTCAGAATCAGTGTCATGCCCCTGGTGGAGACTGACTCTGAGGGAGAGGAGAAACAGCCAACAGGGAGCGGAAATGTGGCTCCAGAAGTTGTGGAGGAGGCTGGGGAAGGGCAGAGGCTAGCGGAGCAGTCAGAGGAGGACCCAGGCCCATCCCCTCTCCATCCTAGGGCACACAGAGAGGAGAGGATAAAGGAGAGACTTGGTCTACTCAGGAGGAGAAGCCTTGATCCTCTTCATAGGCTGCGGGTGTGAGAACTGCATAAGAGTTTGGACCTACGTACTGGCAAATGCTGGAAACAGAGCATGTTTTATTTTGGTCTGAAGTTATCTTGGTTGGCGTCCTTCCAACAGACTGTGCCTTGTTATCTCCTTGAATTTGGTAAATACTTCTCCTGTTCCGTTGTGGAAATTTTATCATTGTAATTTGTTTGGGTTTTTTATTTCACCTCTTATCTGCTCATTAAATTCAGACTGTATTGCTTTCTTTTGAAGACTATTTTTGAGTATGTTTATCTCCAACTGAGTATTATTGAACAGTAGGGCCAAGTTGGAGGCATTAAAGGACATTTATTTACGTTTTGGATTTCGTTACATTTGTAGTACACTCTGGGCAGGGGTGGGATTCTACCAGTTTGCACCTATTCGCTAGAACCGGTTGTTAACATTTTAAGCAGTTCAGAGAACCGGTTGTTAGAAGAAATTACTGGCCTAATCCTGTAATGAAGGCAGGAAGGAAACATTCTGGTGTTGCTTACAGAAACTGCCTCTCCGTTAACCCTTATTACATTCTTGGCAGGACTAGACTTCCTGTCTCAGGAACCTCTGAGGAGTTTTTTTTTTCCCCTCCTTTGCTGGTACTTTGCTTATGTGGAGTGACCATTGAAAGTTACAATGGCACTGAAAAAAGTGACTTATGACCATTTTTCACACTTACGACTGTTGCAGCATCCCCACAGTCATGAGAGGCCAGGCGAGGAGATGCGTGCCACGATGTGAGTGATATTGAGTTGGCCACACCCAGCCAATAACACGACCACCAAGCCATGTCCACCCAGTCACATGACCATGAAACCACGCCCACCATCTAAGCCACGCCCACAGAACCGGGTGTTAAAAATTTTGAATCCCACCTCTGACTGGGTCATCACAATCGGCTTCATACAGGTCATGCCGACATGTTCACTCCTAATAAATTCTTTGAAGTTTTTGGTCGAGGTTCACGATTTAATTAGGGCAACTACCTGAATCCTGACAGTCTCCCTGTATTCTTGTGATACAACCTGAGTGAGATGTACCTTGGCAACATCGACTCTAGA